ACACACACACACACACACACACACACACACAGGGAGAAAGAGAAGAGAGAGAGAAGAGAGAGAGAAAGATACACACCTTCTCTCCTCCCTCCTCCCCCTCCCTCTGCTCTCCTTCCCGGGTTCAGGCTGGTAGTAGTGCTGCCTCTCCGGTCGCTGGCTCGGTGCGCCGTCAGAGTGAATGCGTGTGGATAGACTGGTCGCCGGTGAGAAAACAATTTACTAAAAAAAATCATACTGGAGGTATGTTTTCCTCTTTGTGCATTTTATTTATTGCGTGTAATATTTATAGACATTGAATTTGATATTTTTATTGTTTGTTTTGGGGGGTTTTCCCCTCGAGGAAAAAAGTTGGGGTTCTAGTGAGTTAATAAGTGTTTTTAAAAAGCATTTCATGATACGTCTGCGCTGGGCGATATTATTCTTCACGGCTGTCATTTTTGCTATAAATAAGATGTTTATGTTTTCCTGTATGGCATTCCCTCCGCAGTGTAATCTTGTAACAAAAAAGTTGGACTGCACGTAATTCACACAGGCTCTTTTAGCCATCATTACTGGGATTTTGTGTTGTTGTTGTTGTTGTTTTTTGTTTTTAAATATTTGTCTTTTTTGAAATATTGCAAACGTTTAAGTGCTCTTTGCATCCTTTGCAAGTAGACACTCACACAAACACACCAGAAAGGTGGTTAAATAGTCGACTTCTTCCGTGCATGTGTGAAGCCTCGGCTGTTCGGGCGCACTTGGATGCGTTCAGCTGTCTGCGTTGGCCCGGATTAGCCTTTAAATGTCTCTATTTGTTAAGGCGTCCAGATCTCACCTCCACACCGCCTTATCAATCAGTCAATTAAACAGCCACTCACACGCGGCGAGCTGCACAAGTCCTCAGCCGGTGTATCTCTCTCTCTCTCTGTCTCTCTCTCGCTCTGCTCCATTTGTTTGTGTGTGTGCGAGTGGCCTCATGTAATTTATAAATATTGTATAATAAAGTGTGCCTGTGTGACGTTTGGATCTTGTTTTTTGTGGGGGGTTTTCATTGTGCGAGTGCGTCTTGTTGCCTGCATGCTTGTGCCATGTCCTCAACTTTGGGACGTGCACGTGTTGCACGTGGTCATATTTTGATTTGGTTTTAGTTTATTTCATTATTTGACTTTTTTGTTTTCTTTAATTTCTCGTCTTTAAGTTAGAGTCAGCTTTCACGGTTGTCGACAGTTTTCCAATTTCTCAGTACAAGCTACCAACGTTTAGGTTGTTCGAGTTTATTCCAAGTTTTGGCCCAACACACACACACACACACACACACACACACACACACACACACACACACACACACACACACACACACACACCACAAGAGAAAATAAATAAATAAATCAACAACCAAGCAGCAAAGAAGTGGTTTGCTCTCTGTGACCATCCTTCAGTGTGCTCACCACAGAAAAATATTGAAGTTTACTCCAGCAGGAGTGAAGCCGGCGATATATGTGTGTGCGCACGCGCGTGTATCTGCCTGTATATGTGTTTTCAGACTCACATGGGAGTTTGTTTCAGAAGTGGGCGCATCGATACATTTCGGAGTCTAGCTTAAAAAAATATATATTTGGAATAATCTTTATTTGATTTCGCTGGTCTCTCCCTCATATGGTGTTTTCTTTTTAGGTGTTTGCCCCTTTGCAACTTTGATGCATATTTATGCGCGCCGTGGGTGTACTCCATCAATTATTTGTGCCAGTATAATTCTAGATAAACAGTGTTTGTAAATCAATACATGCATGTAACTATTGCAGATTAAGAGATCGATCAATGGATCCACCGTAACCCCAACCAGTGCTGTTTTTTCCTCCCTCTCTCTCTCTTCTCGAGTCAGTTACAACTCACATCTAACTTTTCACATCTGTCTAAAAAGAAGTTTTAATGCGTGTGAAAGTGCTTGTTTGTGTCTGTGAAAAACATTTTTGACATTTGAGGAAACTTTAGAGTTTTCTATTTTATAATAACCAGAAATTACTTAAATATGCCCAGATTGTGCGTAATAATAATAATAATAATAATAATAATAATAATAATAATAATGTCTTGTTCTTATAATTAATTTTGTTTTTGTATTTATTTTTCGTCACCCTCGTGGCCTCCGTCAGTTTTCCCCTCTCTGTGTTTCCTGTGTGTGAACTTTCAGACCAACGTGTTGAACCTCTCCTCGGTAATTGGATAATATTCCTGCTTTTTGCGCCGCTCCTTGCCAGTCGCCTCATCCGTCTCACTGCTGTCAATACAATAACATAATAATGTTGGAAATGTTTCCGACATTAAATGCCATTCGGGGAAATTTCTCTCCACGTCACTCACCCTCCCCTCCTTAATCGTTCACCTCTGCACGGCATGAACTTGTTAACGTGTCCAATTTATTATAATACCAGCACTTTAACGCAAATGTTTATTTACACACACGGTTCACACAGTAATTAAGAATATGTCTCCGTTCCTTCCTGCATCATAATAATAATAATAATAATAATAATAATAATAATAATAATAATAATAATAATAATAATAATAATAACTAATGTATTTTCGTTTTAAAATAATGGGCATTTTCTATTATTATTATTATTATTATTATTATTATTATTATTATTATTATTATTATTACATCAAATAACATGCCTTGCCTAAATGCCTAAAACTTCAAATTTCTCTTTCCGATTATTTTACTTCGTTGTTAGGACAATTGTTTATTAATTTAATTTGCTCGGATTCATATTTTAGTTTTTCTTTTATGTCTATAGAAAAAAATACATTTACTCTTGCGCTTTTTTTCTGCAATTCATTTGTATTTTACCTGCCGTCACTTCTAAAAGGTAAATATAAGTATCGTTTCTTCCTTTTATGTCCGTGTTTTTATTCGTTTCTCGCTTTGTTATTATTATATTTTATTATTATTACGTTAGTTTTTTTTTAAGCCGTCCGAGCTTTTTAATGTCAGTTACATCAAATCAAACTTACTTTTTCAGGCTTATGATCATAATTATTTGATAAGGAATTTGGATATTGGATGCGCCCTCGCTTCCTCATTTTCTCCTTTGTTTTTCGCCTTTTTCCTTTCCTCGTTTCTGAAATAGACTATTGACTTCATTTTATTCATCAAGACAATTCACCTATGGGGTCTTGCACCTCTCCTCATCTCCATCTCGTCTAGTGGAGAAACTTCTGACAGGTGCGAGAAGCGGGTTTGATTTTTAAAAAATGCTCTCATCCTTAATGTGTTGTCATCTGGAAAGCAATTTCGTATGATCAAAGTGCGGCTAGTTAGTGCGGTCAATATTCTTTCCAGCAAGCATCTCATATATCGATAACAAGACAGCAAAGCCTCTCGCCGAACTGCATTCAGGCCCTGTATCCGTTATGTGCCGATAATCCCGGGTACATCCTGTGCGTAAAATGCGTTATAGCCTCATATACATTTCAGGAAGCTTTAATATAAATATAGGAAAGAATATACCTCATTTATAAGGATTTTATAGGACTCGAGGAAACTCGAGGAAATGCTGTCTAGTGCGATAAGGTCATCCACAAATGAGTGGCAAATACGCACGAAGTCATTATGTGAGTATTATAAGCTCTAACTGGCTCTTCCTCTCTCTTGCTGTCACAGTTACTGTATGACAGTAAGGAGTAAATAAGGTGATTGATCTGTGGTCTATGAAGCAGCAGTGGTCCTGCGGGAAAACATCAGAACACAAGCCAAAGGATCGACTCCAGTCAGCTGGGCCAAAGCGCCACCTTCCCTGTTTCCTGTTACTTCATTTATTTTCATTAATTATTTGAATTGAGGGCAACCCCGCGTACGTACTTGTCCTTTTAACGGAGGATCTTCCAGTCGTACTAATATATATATATATATATATTTTTTTTTTTTTTCAGTGACGCCTTCGTGCGACAGCGACACTTTCCTCCTTGTTTCCTCCTTTCCGGTCGGATCAAGCGAAGCAGCGAAGAAACTTCAAGTCCAGTCCGTGAGACCGTGATCGGGCTTCGGCCTCAGGTGCATCTCTGAGGCGGAGCGACGCGGAGGTCCAGGTGGGTGAATTCAACCCCCACCCCCTCCTTTTTTATTTCTTTCTATTTTTTTTTAACCGTGTGTCTTTAATGTCTATTTTCTTCCATTGCTTCTCTTCTGCGGTTGCATTTTCTAATTACAGTCGAACCTTTTTCTATAATAATTAAAATAGTTTAAAATATTTTTAAGGTAATCTGAGGTCACTTAAGTCAAGATGCTTTCCAGTGGGTGGAGTCATTTGTTGCTGATTTAAAAAAAAAAAAGAAAAAGAAAACGGAACTGTATTTTACAAAGAGAGTCCGTGTAGAGATGTAACGTTAAACCAACGTAAGCAATCAAAGTGCTAATTTAAACTTTATAAGACAGCTTTCTGCACTCTATGAAATCTTTCAGACTCACCTATTTCTTAAAGATTCACAGAAGAACAACTTCTAAAAATTATGAAAAGAAAATATTTTTTTTAATGTGTGGAAATGCTTTTCAAAATTTCAAGATTGTCCTGTTTTTCTATTTTAAAAAACACTGCAATTAAAAAATAAATAAATAAATCCAAACACCTCTTTTTGGATTTTGAAAATGTGTCAGTGAAAAAGTGGCACAGAACTATCTACAAATAATCAAAGGTGTCCAGTCTACTATCTAGTAACCCTTGGCCATGTGCAAGATTGCTCTCCATCAAGGTAATGAATGCTTCCTTCGTTTCTTCTGCACCCGTCTAATTCTTCCCGTTTGATATTACACTCTTAAAATTTGTATTTTAGTATTTATGATTCAATATTCATTAGTGTCTGCTGGAAGAGAAAATTCTACCTCTTACTCTTGTAGCCTTATAGGGGAACTGAAGGACTTCTCCATATCTTTTCCATCATCTGCAAACACTCCCTCTTTCTCCGCCCCCCAACCCCCTCCTGTCGTCTTTCCCTGCCACACCTGGTAACTACAAACTTGTACACAATAATAACAGCCAGATGTATCCATCTATCTCTCTATCTAGCCTGTCGACAGTTAGTGGAGTGGCTGAGAGACTTGCAGGCGTGAAAGGTCAGTTAATCAATGGCGCACAATTTGACAAATCCCAGTGACTCTTATCATCCTCACGGGTGTTTAGGGCCGAAAGGAGGACCACCGAGATAAATGCTTAATCCTGAGTGCTCAGTGAAAGAGAGAGAGCGAGAAAGAGAAAGGACAAGGACGGGAGCGCTCTGAAGCAGATGGGCATGCAGAGAGGTTGAACGCCAGGGCTGGTAGTGGAGGGCAGTGGACTTTGGAAGAGTTGACAAGTAGAGATAGAACTTGAAGAAAGAAAGAGATTCGGAAGTGACTCAGTGCAACAACTGGAAGGTGAAAAATGTGCCTGCGTTTGGAAATGACAGATTATACTTTTGTCTGTCGCAATCAAAGGACATGTGCAACTTTGTGGCTCTCAGATCACAGAACATTGCCTCAGACTGGACAGGCCGAACACATGCCTTCTGGTCTGACAAAGAAATCCTGGTTCACTCTCGGTTATGGCTCTGCTTCTGTGTGTAAAGTTGAGAAAAACCTGAGGAAAACAAAGGTGTATGAGTGGTTGAATTCTCCTGTGGCATGTTAGCCCGCCTGCAGCAGTGTGCAACCAAGAGGAAAATGAGCTTTTGTCCACAAGGCTGGCCTCTTTTTTCTTTCAGTTTTTTTTAAACTGCAGGGGTTTTGGAAGAGGGAACAATTTCTCTGTCCTTATACCCTTAACAAACATCACCTCAGTAGGACATGTCGTCACTTGTTTTCTATACTGAACTGCTAGGACCTTGTTATTTCCTGTTTTTATATTGGCATACATCACATTTAGTTAAAGAATCCAAATAGCATTACTGTCACCAAAAGTGATGGCTTGAATCTGAGGGCATGAATGGAATTTCCTTGCCGTGTGTGTTTTATCTTTTTTTCACATGGGTGCAAGAGAACTGGAGCTCTTTGAGCAATCACACAGACAGACCCTCATGTCCTTTATCTCCATCTCAATACAAGTTCAATGTAATTCAATTGAGATTAGTTGAACTGGCATGACAGCAGATCCGTAGTATTGCCAAAGCACTTAGGAGGCAATGACAGAACCACATCGATGTGGACTAACACATACACAACGCTGCACGACCGGCCAACCTTGTAGTGAGACTAAGACACACACATGCACACACAAAGTATAGGATCGAGCGAGAGAGTGACAGTCGAGTCAAAGAGGTTTTGGCAAATCTCAGGATGATGAAGTTAAAGGCTGATAGAAACTTGTCGAAAAAATGCGAAAAGAAGGAGAGAGGAATGATAAAGGGACCCGGACGATGAGTAGAGCTCATGTATGACAGAGTTTGTCCAAAAAAGATGAAAGAATGATCGACTCTCGGGGAGCACGATGGAGAGAGAAGAAGAAGGAAGGACAGGAAAAGGGGAAGAGGAGGACGTGACAAAGTGAAAGAGGTGAGTGATGCTGAGGAGAGCGAGAGAAGAGAAGGAGCGAGTGAGGAGAAAGCGCTGAAGGCAAAAAAAGGAGAGGACAAGAGATAAAGAGAGCAAGGGGGGGGGGCAAGAAAGGATAAAATGTATAAGAGTGATGTACGAGAAGAGGGGAGAGGAAGAGATTTACTAGAAGAGAGATTAAGTCAAGTTGTCCCCGGTCAGTCATTAATCCGATTTAAGAGCAATTAAGGTGAGACTGATTCCTTCCTAGAGAGAAAGAAATAGATGGAGAGGGTGAAGAGAAGGGGGAAGAAAAGAGGAGACAGGGAGGGAGACAAGGAAGGAGTGATTGAAAGAGAAAAGTGGGAAAATAGAACAGGTGTCTGAACTCTGGATGTCAGTTAGTGGACAAATTACAAGCAATGTACTGAAAAACTAACAGGAACACTGGCAGAATACTCTAATCTGTTTATTTGACTGTCATGTAAAATTGGACAAATCTAAAACTTGCTAAAAGTCACAGGTTAGGGAGCGAGGTGAAATAAATTTTTCAAAAGGCACTCCAGAAGTTTGGTCGTGGCTTTTCGTGTATTCTCGCATTCGTTGACTAACACACATTCCCTTTTGATCAAACCATGGATTTTCCGTGACATTGGGATCATAGAAAGGTACCTCCACACTCTGTTAACAGAAACTAACATCTAAAGTCTGCGTGTTATAGCTCAGTTATCTGTGAGATTTGTTTTGTGAGAGTGGACAGGAGACGTGAAGTTGAATTTCAGGTGAAAGTGCAGCGGCTGCTTCCCTCCAGTCAACATTAGACAGCGAAGGGCAAAGAGGAGAAAGAGACAGTGTTAGAGAGAAGGAGAGTGAAAGACAAAGTGGATGACTCTCCTCTGAATGAAAATGAAAAGCACGGGAGCAATGAAGAGTTTCCCTCCTCCTCCTCTTCCTCTTCCTCCTACTGCAACAAACCCCTCCAATCCCCACTCGGTGTGCTCTGTTGTTCCAGATATGTATCAGGGGTCTCGGGGTCAGCAGAGGGGTCCCTCCACTTGCTGTAGTGTTTCTATGTCTATTGGGAGATGGTGGTCCTGATAGCTTGGCCGTCTGACACGTACACAACAGTACATAAATCAAAGGCGCACATACACACCCTCACTCCGTTTATCTCCCACTCAAACAGTGCGGTGATAGCAGCCAACTCTGCATAGAGTCAGACAGAGGGAGAGGTTGTGGTCTGTCTTGTTAAGTGGGAAAGTAATAGGTAGCTGTAAAAGGTTTACTTCTGTTGCTGCCATCTCTATTGTTCAGGCTTTTCCAGTGTTTGTGCCTCTTTTGTTTGATGTGCTTCAATAGTATATAGCACACTCAACTACGTACATAATTGCTGTTCCACATAACTGCAGGACAGCAGCATGTTATTATGAAGTCTTTTAAGGCAAAGAATGTAGCAAATTGAAAGTGAGGTTATAGATTTTGTTTGTAACATTTTAGGTATCTGAATGGAAATGGTTTTACATGATTTCATTGACTTACATCAGTCACAAATGCACGTTTTTCAAAAGAACTCGGCCATTACTGGGAAAATGCACTTATACACATCTCTTTATTTCATTTTCTGTTTTGTCCTGGCTTTTCTCCTATTAAGATTCTCTCTATTTTTCTGTGGTGCATCTATTGCAGTTTCTGTGGACCAATCTGTAGACCATCGCAAGTCACAGATTGAGAGGCCATTTGGCTGCTGTTGACAGGAGACAGCAGCTATTGACAGGGCCCTGCCGGGGAGGCGTGTCTCAGGCCCCACGTCCAAAGCGTTTGTGGCATTTAATACACTGTAGCAGTGGTCCTCACAGCCCTCACCCTGCGTGCTACTGCCATAGGGATCAATATGCACTGGGTTAGAGAGAAATGGACCATCTGATGCACACTCAGAGAGGGGGATGAGAGGAAAAAAGAGTGTAAGAGATGGAATCAGCGGGGAGGGGTGGGGTAGCGAGGGATTTAAGGGAAGAGAGGCAAAAGACTTGAAAAGGGGGAAATGGTGAGACCTAAAAGTGAAGAAAAGAAGAGAGGAAATGATTAGAGGCATGGTTTAAAAAGACATGGAGGCAGAGTGTTGCCCAGCACAGAGATAGATAGCAAGGGAGAGAAAGTGGTCAGTGGTTGAAAGAGACATTCAGCTGGGAAAGAAAACAGATTGGAGGGAACGGGGATAGACACTGAAAAAGAGGAAGGCTCTAGACACCAGGGAGGATACACACAGGAAAGGAAAAAAGACATAAGGGAAGAGACGAGTGGGAGATAGGAAGGGAGAGGGGGAGTAGAAGGAAGAAAGGAGAGGGGAGAAAAACAGAGGTGGTGGTGGTGGTAGGGGGGTGCTGGGAAGGATGAGGAGGAAAGGAGGGGAGTGGGGGGGGGGACTAAAATTTCCATCAGGTTTTCAATTGGGGCGGATCAATAGTGTATTAGAGCTCACCTTGACCCCATCCCTCCCCCCTCTCCCTGGCCCAGCACACAGGCCAAGCTACTCTCCCTCACAGCAGGGGACAGAGAGGGGGAGAGATTGCATTACGGCCCCCCTTTC